AATTGTGAATATATATGGTCAATAGTAGAGCAGCCCAGTCTAAATCAGGATTGATAATCTCCAACGATTTCTTCTGGTGTATGTTTTTGTTTTTTCTAGTAGATTAAGGAGCTTTATTCCCCACGTAATTAACACATTGCTTTTTGTTTCCTTTTTTGTATTTTGGTGCAATAACCATCTTCTTTCCATTCATCTGGCATCATTTCTTCTCGCCAAATACCTTGAATTAGCTTGTATAGTTTTTTAATTGCCTGGGTTACTTCTCGTATGGTGGGTATTAGTCTTCTATTTCAGCTGTATTCACTTATATGGTTGATGTATTTCTGCTAGATTGGTCGTTATAGTTTAATAGAAGTTGGTAGAAGTTTTTAAGCTTTCATTGGCATCGAGTACATTTCATCAGATTTCGTTTTTCATTAGTCTGGTTGAGCACAATTAATCACAATTTTAGTTTAACATACGTTTATTTTAAACTTTCGCTTCGCCAAAATTTCAAACGCCAAAATAAACGTATTTTCACAAATGAAATGAAATTGTAGTTAGTTTCCAATAAAAATAGTAGATAATTTTAAAATGCCATAAAAAAATAAATAGCTTCAAAACAATTTTAAATTTCTTATAAATACCATTTCTTTTGTTGGCGGTTTACTTCTTCCTCATTATTTATTATTTTGACCAATTCATCCTCAATGATAGTTTCTTCTTTTATCAAACTCCCCTCAAAATATTCTTTTCACCTTTTAATGGCCTCCTCCTCTTTAGTCGCAATCACTTTTCTTACTTTTTTTTCTAATAAAAAGTCTTCTTCTTCTTCGTTCGACTAGGATTACTCCTGTTTGTCTGCCTCTTATTCTGTTTCAGTCGTTGCTGACTGTACATTATCCTTCACCTTTTTGCGAACCTTAAAACGGAATCTTTGCTATACGGCTTGTTGTTTTTACAGATTTCGCTAACCTATCTGGTCCCATTCGGTTTACATGTTCGTTCTAGTTTTTTTTTTTTGTTTTTATCCACCTGTTAACATTTTAAATTTTGCATTGTTCGCGTATACTTCTGTTGGTTTGTCTGTCTTTTAATGAAATGCTCGCTATTGATCTTAAAACTTTCATTTCGATACTGTTTGCTTTCCGTGGTCAGATATTTGTTTCTCCATATGGTTCTCGGATGCAACCACTTACTCTTGCCGCTTTTGATGCTTGCCTGGGTCTCTGTTCTTATATCCTTAATCCTTTCGAATTTCATTACTTGTTCTACAATTTTGCAGTCTATTTCTAGTTTGCATCTACGCGGCTCTTTACTGATCACTATACATTTAGTTATTTCTACTGATATTCTCATATTAAGTTTGTGGAGATAAATAAAAAGTGGCGAAGCTTATATACATCCACTTTTTCTTTGAGCTTGCTTGGAGAGCAACGTTTATTATTCAATCTCTTTGATTTTCTTTTTTATATATTCCGTCTTTCGCGTGTATTCTCTTTTGATCTTGCTTTTTTGCTTATCAGAAAAGAGAAATTATTATACTAATTATTATTCTTATAAATCAGAAATTTTAACGCCACATCTCTTAAAATCTAATAAAAATTTATATATAGGTAAACGAGGAAAGCATTTTGTTTCGTGGCATTTTTGATTGGATTGATATATTATATTGACAATAATAATGTATTCGTAACCAAAACAATATTGAATAGGCTTTTTTTGTAATATTACCTTCCTGCAATTGCAACAAATTTATTTTCAGTCAAGATCCACGTAAAAAAATTAGTGTAATTGACCACACCTTCATTACCTGCATGTTTTTAGATACCTGTCCTTCGCAATTTCGAAAAATAGAGCGAGGAATCCTGTTGCTATTTTCATATTTACATCAATGGTCTTTTAATAGTGACATTTTTTATTTTCGCAAATTTTATATGAAATGAAACCTGGCAACTATGGTCATGAATAATTGTTTAAGAGTTATGTGCCAAATAATAGGTAACGGTGGCAGTGGCCAACATTACAGATCTGGCAGTGCGCCAATCCAGTATCCAAAAAATAAATGAATAACTATATAATCCTTAAAACCGGTTAATACATAATATCTCGCGAAATTATAATCTACGTCAAAGGAAACTTGGCGCAATCTAATATAAATAAATAGAGGGATATATATTCTAAATACAATGCGATCAAAATCTTTAACTATTTAGGTCAGCACAAATATGAGCTAACGGTAAGCAAACGGGATCGTAATTTTTTTCGTGATTCCCTCGAATTCAATTAAGATATCATCACGCTAATAGGACAATTGAATAGGCGAGTTGTAGAAGCAGTCAAATGATTTACTTGGCTTTTAAATGATTTGTTCCAAGATTAAACTATTGGATGATAATTTCGAGAATTTTAGGCATGATAGATGTATATACATAGTATGTAATTATTTTAGAGGCAATTGTCTCTTCCCTAAATAGTAATGCCATTTTTTTCATCTAAAAATTTAAACAAATTTGGTTCTGAAACTACATTTGAGTGCAAAACAATCGACTCAAAAGCTATATTTGAGATTACACCTTCTGTTTTAATGTAAGAAGTATGAAAATAAAAAGATGTAATGTGCAAACAATGACTTTATTATTGAACTTACAAAAACTGCTATTGCATTATTTGGAAAATGCATTATAAAAACAATATGCAATACGAACAGAGTTTCCTAAATATTCATCATTAGAACTAACGCAAGAAAGACGTTATGAACAGCGAAATCATCAATTACAAAATGAATTTCTTTAGTTTTCAATATTTGATGTTACCACTCCTACTTCTAGATACACTTTGAAATGAATTTCGCATGGATCGGAGGACTTTTCTAATAAATTCTTAAGGCATTGCTTTCCATTCATCATTAAGCGCAGCTCTTAATTCATTATGCCCTTGATGCATGATATCTGTGCCAGACCCTTGCTTGGGTCTTGGGGCTTGAGAGAATCTCTCAAGAAATGCTTTATCTCCTCCGATATGAGTTAAACGGCGACCTTTATCATTTGGAAATTTTAAGCCCGTGGACACAATTTCTATAAATGCCTGACGAGCATTTGCAACCAGTTTATCTTGCCAAACTTTTTTTACAAAATGCCCTTCATTTATCCATGTTTGATCTAAATAAAAAATATTGTTGCCTTCTCTCCTCAATTTTCGAATTTCCCTTAAATATTGCTTCCTACAACAAATAATTTCTTCTTTCTGTATGAGCGCAGATTTTCTATTACTATTCTCATAAACGAATCCTAATTCACGTAAAGTTTTCCACAATTAACTCTTTTAATCTTTGTCAAAGAAGCTTCGTCTTCATTAATGTCTACTAAAAGTTTAACCAAGGTAGGAATCTTTTTTTGCAAATAAAATTAAGGAACTTTTCATTGAATCGATTGTTTTACAGTATCGTCTATATGAATGGGTTTTTTCTCCCTGTTCACGTTTTTTAGCTGCTTCTGTAATACTTCCACTCTTTCGTTGCTTTAAAAGTCTATAAATAGCTGCTTCTCCAACTCCGGTCATATCTGAACAATTAGAAACTATACTTCGGAGTCGGAACAATAGCTCTAAAGTGTTCATGTACAAGAGCATTGTTAAAGTCTTAACGTACCTAATAATTCCTCATTATTCTGTTACAATAATTATTAAGAAAACACGAAAATATATTCTATTACTTTCGATGTATCTCAGCCTAAATAAAACGAGTTTTTGTCTCGTCCGCCTTTCTTTGACTCTCGCTAATAACAGCTTATTTTAATATTCAACATACTGTAATAATATTTACCTCCAATTCTTTCCCTTTCTCAATATAAAAAACCTTTTTCACCTTATAAAAAAATCATTTTTACTACCTCAACTCCTTCAACAGCCTCGCTAATTCGTTACAGAAAAGTTTTTTGTCTACCTAGAACTGGGTCAACTAGGTATATTTGTTCGTTATCGAAACTAAAGGGGCCAGCTTTAGTTTTATTGTTTTTATACAGTTTCTTCGTAATGTATAAAAAAGTGGTTTTTAGACCCACAGTTTGGGACATGAAATGTTCGTTAAAATTCGTTACGACGGTTGAAAGATTGACGGTTGTTTTTCCCTATAAAAGCTTCATTCAAAGCGACATTCAGAGACTCTTGCTCGGCCCTCGTGGCAAATAGTTCACATCTCAGACGTATTTCCAACTCTTCTCGACGTAAATGATACATTCACAGGAGTAAAATTAGACGTTTGTTACATTTTTACTATACAAATTCACTTATTAATATCACTTTTTATTATAGAACTAACAATTATGCGTGTTATAATCACAGGACTGTACAAGCACAACCTGTTAATCTTAACCAAAATGATTCACAATCTGTAAAACACGTTCAGCCGCTTGGAAATTTTAATCCTTTCTAAGAAAGTTGAGTGCTTATAAATTGACCTTCCCTTGTTTGGAAATTGTAAATATTTTTTTCTCTGTAGAGATACACTTATAACATTTGTTCATTAAAGTGACTACGAAATTTAAGACAAATAATGAAATAAATTGGTATGTTTAAAATTTTTAGGTAAAACCATGTAAGAACATGTTCAGAACATCTAATTTAGAAAATCTCCGTCAGTGTTATGATGTTGTATTGGGTTTTATCTCACGTGTTATAAAATTTGTGCTATCAATCATTTTCAATTGTACTATAGTCACTTGTACTGATACTATATCCCCCAATAATGTTGCGTATATTACACGACTTTTCAGCATTCAGTCTATCCATCTGCAGCTGGTTTCGTCTATTTCTTTTACAAATAATGCTCCCTCTATAGCGAGAAATGCATTCAACATCAATCTTGGTTTTCAGACCATCCCTAATATGCCTATCGATCAGTTTTTCTAGACTCTTCAGTAAAAATGACAGACTACTTGCCCTCAGGGACCAACTTATCATAATTAAAATACTTATCTTAAGATTTATTAAAGCACATAATGAAATACTTTTATTATTTACAGCTGAAACTTCCCATCTAGAAGAGTTTCCCATCTAGAAGAAAATATATCTAATGGACATTTAGACTCTGGAAAAAAATCCACCATAATAAACCATCGCACTGCTTATTCCAATGATGTGAAATTCCACTCGGTTACAGATTGACATTCCACAAAAGATGGCCGTCGATTTCGCCTTCCATTTGGCGGAGGCGCGGGACCAGGACGGCCCAATCGGCCAAGGGAACACATCAACGTAAAATGTTAAATGAAACAAAATATTTATTGTAACATTGTATATATACGTTATACATACCTTATACATATGTACTAATTTGTCTTAGGGTACACAAGAGGTAAATTGTTGTTTTTATTTTTTATGAGGTGAATTTTGTAGAAATTACTTTTGTGTAATGTTTGTGCTAGGAAAATTTCATTAACATGTTGATGGAAATAATAATCTCGGCGTTTTTGTAGTTAATAGTCTAATTCAATATTTTCACGGAAAATTTTGTTGGTTTTTATCCATAATCCCTCGAGTAGCGTAACTAAATAAATATGATAATAATTACTTAAAGTAAGGTAGTAATTCTAGTATATACAGAGAGAGAGAAAGAGAGTATATATAACGCTGCAAAGTCTGCTGGAGGTCGGTACAGTTTATTGCTGTACATAATTCAAATACAACACCCTCTATAATTTAGTACTAAATTAAAGTTTTGTTTGAAAACGAATGATTGTGATCAGTCCCTTAAATGGTTTTCAGCGACGATTGTAAAGGATATTTGGTTTCCCATACCATTGAAATCCCAAATTTCAAACACATTTTTTTGTTTTCCTGTCCACACATGAAGGTGCTCAACACATGTTTTGCATACAACATACGGCACAACACAAGTTTTATCTTGATCTAGAGAAGAACACTAAAATGTGCAGTATACCTTTTTTACAAACGCACAAACTAATTTTCTATTTTCTTTTAATATATATTTGCTACATACGTACAGTTGGTACAGTATAAAGCCCGATACACGTCGTTATCTACGTCAGAGATCCAAGTTGACATTGTTGGCCAAATTACAAAAAAATTCCTGAAATAATTTTAAATAAAATATTTCACATAATTGCAGAAGTGGATTGTAAAACAAATCAAGTTAGTATTCAATGAAAATAAATAAAAAAAAATAGAAATAGAAAACAAAATTAACTAACCTTACGTTAAAACAATTTGAGCTGCTCGTGTATATAAAGAAGTAAAATAGATTAAAAACAACACTTTTTTGATTACTTTTTTAAATGTGCTTATGGTGCTTAACTCGTTGGCTGCCGTGAGACATAAATCTGGCGTCTCGGTTGTTTTCAATAACAGCCGCGTGACACACATAATGTGTCTCGGCAGGAATTCTGTATTATAGCCGCTTGAGCCTCGGTTGTTGTCTCAGTCCTCTATAAAGTATGATGGACTGAAAGATCGCGGCTGTAAATGTGTACAGCTGTTTTTGGTTTTTGGATCTGTGACACATAAGTTGGTAATCATCGCATTATATATTCGTAAATAATGAAATATTTTTGATAACTATACCTGAGTTGCTTTCAGCTGCCTCGGTCTGTCCTTTTTTTAGCTTCTTATCAAGAACTTGTTTGGGATTCATTTTTCGATTCGAGCGAAGTGTCCCAACTAAGTGAGTGTTTTTGGCAAGTAAAGCATGGGCCAGTTCGACACTTGTGTAATAGTTGTCTCTAAAAAGTGTCCGCTCCTTGTCAAGCAAGTCCTTCGCAAGACTGAGTACTACGTTTTGAGATGAAGATTGGCCCTCTACCCGGTCTTGTCCACAGTAAATCAACATATTATAAGTATATTCCCTTTTCGATGCACAGTTTGTAAAGTTTAATTCCAAACTTGTGCCTTTTATTTTTGATGTATTGTTGAAAAGACAACCGACCTCGGAAAGGAATCAGGGTTTCGTCAATACAATTAATTGCCATTAATTTTACATTAATAGAAATCTTCAAATATTATTTCTACGCTTATATAATCAAACATGTCTAGTGGCTGTAATCCCAGTGTACTTGGAGAGAAAGATTATAAGAAGGAATAGACCTACGACTTAATTATTTTGTGTTGGTATCATGTGACGTTACTGACTATGACGCGGATGACATGCATCGGGGTTTATGCTGTACCAACTATAGCAAATAAGTTTGATTGGTTAATTCACTAAAAAAGACATATTTACAAGAAAGCTTAAGTGTAAATGTCTTGGGATTATGACATAGATACCTTTAGGAAAGTAATAAACAATAGTAATACAATTTTGGATACTTGTATTGACAATAAAATTGTTCAGTTAGGAAGATTATTACTGCAATATTGAGGAACATTTATAAAATATTTAATTTTTCTATCGCAAAAACTAGAGCTTATAGAAATAAAGTACTTTTGGAATCAGCGTGCTCAAAATATTTCAAACCACATTAGTAATACTAATATCCCACTGTGAAATATACGATAGACGTTATCAAGTTTTAGTCATTGAAAGCTAATAGGCTCTTATGAGTATCGTTTTCGTAAATAATTATATAAAAGTGTACAATTAGGAAAATGTAGCAGACTACAGCTGTCAAAATATACTTTGTAAAAACCGTTATGATGTATCATGTCCTATGTTGCTATGCGTCAAATGACGTAGAAATTTCATTTAAACTGCAGCCACAGTACAAAATTTCATAAAATTTAATTTACGGTTCTCTAACCTACATTATTTATTAAATTTGACACACATGAAACAGAACGTACAGTTTTCTTACATGTTTTCATTGTTTCTGTTTTGAATTAGCCCTAATATCAAATTCTACCACAGCTGATGCAAGTTTTGTATCCTCTTTTGGTCTTGTTTTGTCAGTCGAACCGTTTTATTGAGTTTTATAAATTAAAACATTAAACTCTAATTGTTTTAGATAGTAAAATAAACAAGTGGTTGAAATTAACATAACCTAAGAACGAAAATCAGCGAACATATCAACGTAGGCAACCCGTTATACTTGGTTGATATATCATGCTGATTTCAAATTTTTTACATAAATATGTTATCAATTCGAGTTTACACCATGTAATTATTTTACATAGATGATACATCATAGGGTCAAGTGTTTTAATATATCATTAGAGACTTCGTCGCTTGTTGCAGCAAATTGTACATTTAATAAAATTTCCACTTTAAAGTGACACCGTCGTGATGTAATTTTTGATTAGGTAAAAATATTGAAGTTCTAAATTTATTCAATTTAAAAATTGGCGATTCCACATTTTCGGATTGGCATTTGATATTGAATTGTATAAAAAGTTTAGGTAGAATATTGACAGTTTATTTTATGGTATGATCAAATATTTAACAAATTACATTTGAATTTTGGTTATGGTTTAGCATATATAAAATAATTAATTTTATTTGCTTAAAGATTATTCTTCATAAGCTTTTTACTTGTGGTATTTGAACTGATTTTTTTTTTATTGAAGAATCAGAAACTAAAATTTTATTAATATTTACTTGCTCAAACCGAAAGGTATTTCAAAATATTGTTAAAAAATATTTAAAGTGTGTTTATTCATAAAATTTCTTTAGTTTAAGACTAGTGTATTTAATGGGTCGTTGCTGTTGTCCTAATTCGAGAAAATGATTTTTTCTTTTCAGTTTTGTCTTGACCAATACAATTTACAGCATTATATTCTTTTTGTTAGTAATATTATTTAGGGAGTTCTATATTTTATTCCCACCCCACTTTCTTTTATATCGAACCATCATCAGAGACACTTGACCAAATTACGGTTAGACGGAGAGACGGTTAATTTGAATTTTTTAAGATCAAATCCTATTTATTAATTTGCAGAGATAATTGCAAAAAAATTTGTACTATTTAATAAACATTAATAATTTTTGCAATAGTAACTGTAAGTAATATACAACACTTTGATAATAAGTCTATTATATGTCTATACAAGTCAATAAACTGCAAACAAACCGGTTTGTTAGTTAATGAGTTTTTGATAAATATTGATGGTAGATATCAAAAGTTTAAGCACTTATTGCTGCCCACGGTATGCTTCTACAGTTATTTAACAAAGAACCATGATTTTTGTGTATTAAAACTATTTAAAAAAAAAAAACATAAATCAAAGTGAAAATTACAAATGAGTTAAAATAAATTAATATTTTTTCGCGAATAAACAACATGAATAACTTTTTATGGAACATCTTTTTAACAGCCGCAAATTATTAGTTTTGATTAACCATGGCTGGTAACGCGGTATTATCTCCACAATTGAATCAATCATTTGAAAAAATCGTTGATTCTGCTTTATTCATTTATAATTTCCGTTGAGAGCTTATTTATTTTGTGTCCCAATTTACAAGGTGGGCTCTAACTTCATAAGCGTCCACAAAAAGAGAAAAAGAAAAGTACGAGCTGATTGAGAGGTTAGGCATCATTGTTTACTATACAATATTACCTATAATTTTTTATTCTAATTAATGATGTTAATCGATTTTCATTACTTGCCGAAATATATTAATTAACAACAATATTATTATATGTGTATAAACAATAAAAGAGAGCCATTAATATTTTTGCGGGATAAAAATTGACAAATAAATGTACTGAATAGTATTTAATACAAACAAAATATTGTAGCATATTATAGCACGAGATTCTTTATAAAGAAATTAATTTTTCAGGGTCAAAAATGCAATCGGGAATAATTTACATGTCGATAGCGGGTATCACTCTTACATACTCAATAACAACACCGCTGCGTTATCTACTTCCTACATCAATAATATAATCGATTAAAAATAATCGAAAATAATAATCGATTAAAAAATTTATTTGATAATTGACACTTTTTTTCCTTATGTTGTATTTCTTTTCTTTTTTTTCAATAACTATGCTTTCTTTAGTATTTTTTTTTTATCTTAATTACACCCTAGTGTTGTTTTTAACCTATCTCTTCTGTTTTATAAATATTGAAGAGTTGAAATTTTCGCAGATGGTTAATGTTATGAATACCTATATTTTATGATGCACTTGATAAGTAGTTCGATTTTAAATAATTAGTACCCTTTTAAAAGTGAAAGTTCTCGTGCCATAGATGAGTGGTAGGAAAGAACCTTGGGGGCCGGCCAGATTTTGAGTACAACTTCAAAAACGGAGAGGAGCCGCGTTGAATAGTTTTTTGCTATATCTCTCTGGTTTTTGGGAAACCGTAGAAACCTTCAATTTTTGTTTAAACTGTGTGTAATTACGACGAAATATGAACAACTGGAAAATTTTAATAAATCCTTATTTCTACATTAAATTTGTTGTAAGCAATATATCTTTAGAAATTTTTGCAAGTAATGATGCAACTATTTGTTTAAATACGTTACTGACGATTTTATTAATTAATTCTCCGGATCATTCAATCTTTAAGACACTTATTATATACTTACAAACTGAAAAGAAAGGCTGAAAATGAAATTATCAAAGCGAGCTTGCCCACTTCATATATTACAAAAGAAGCAAATGACCTTAGCGGATTCAGCTTTCTTTTCTACGGTACACAAATGGTGAAAAAATGTTCATAAGTTAAAAGGCTTATTGGAATAATCAGGATTAAAATAAAATTTATGAAATTAAAAAAACCACAACTTTCATTTTAAATTTAAAGTATTTTATTTCATATTCTAAAACTAATTCTGATAATTTTCTAACTTTTAAACCAAATAATTGGATATCTACGTATTGGTACGTAAACTGTGATATGATACGAATAATTTACCTGTTGAATTTGAAAAATAAAAAGCTCATTAGGGGTTGTAACATTACTCTCTTGTTGTGCCGTAATAGGGACATATATATACAGGGTGTTCAGGATGAGAATAAAGTATGTAGAAGTAGTACAATTGTATATTCACAACTATTTTGCAATAAATAAAAATTGTCGGTAGTGTATGATAGTTTTTGGGGTATGGTCTTGTTTTTATATTGACTGGGTTGTGCTATCAAAACGTATTAAAAAACAATATATCATTAATAAAAATACAGTAGTTACAATTGTATATTCACAACTATTTTGCAATAAAAAAAATTTCGGAAGTGTATGATATATTTGTATTGTCTTGTTTTTTATA